AGTGTGATTTATAATTTTTATATAATTTTATTAAAATAATTAAGATAATTTTTTAGTATCATCACTAGCGATCATCGCCGCTAGTATTATATAATATATTGGTTGTACTACATATTGATATACATATCGATATTGTTAACGAAGTGTGTATTTAATAAGTTTCAAGCTTTATTTTATTTTTTTTATTTGTGCAATCCCAATATAGCATACAAGAAATAAGTCAGATATGAATAGAGACAATTTTTTTTAATCACACTCTTATTTTTTACAAGATGTAGAGAATATCCAAAGATTATCATCTGATTTTATGTTGGCTTCAGAAGTATATGATATGTCTTTACAGTATAACAATGATTGTTTAGAAAATTACATTGATTTGGACAAGCTTTATAATGATATTGATAGTAAGATTAAACTATACAGTTTTTTTTTGCAATAGCAGCAGCAGCAATTTTTTTTTTAACCTGAATTTTTTTTAGATTCACTGAATTGTGATAATCTAAAATACTATGAGAAAAACAATATTCAACCACCAGCTTTATTAAAGATAGAAATGACGTTTGACATCTTTGATTATGCAGAGCGGTTTCTTAACCAGTATACAAAAGACAATAGGTTTGTTGTTATAAAGGAGCGATATGAAAAAAATAAGAATAACAAATCAATTATTGTAAGGAGAACATTTGAATATCACTATGGTAGAAGTAAAAAATCAAAAAGGTTGTTGATATTGTGCAACAAAAAGATCATGCATCGAAAAAAATAAATTGTCTGTGGATATGTAATATTAATAAAATAAAAGGCAGTGAATCCGTAAAAGTTACTAGTTTTGACGATCGATATACTCACACTTGCAATAATAATATAGCACAGTATACTTCAAAATATAGACATCTACCCTCAGAGGTTCTTGATAATATAAGGCTTTTTACTGTAGATGGTCAGATGGGTACAAGAATACAATACCGTTTATTAGCAGCAAAATACCCAGATATCTATATTCACAAAAGAGATTTATATAATGCTATTTATCATTTAAAGCTACTTCAGCTCATCAGCAACAAGAAGATGGACAATCAATTCTTAATAAGCTATTGGAATTACAGTGTGAAGAACTGGGATAGATTATTAAAACATATCTTGAAGGGCCAGATAATCTATTAGTTAGGTTATTTTGGATGAATCCAATGCAAATTCAACTTCTTATTAAATATAAGGA